AGGAGTCTGACCTTTCAATGTGATCGTGACTGTTGGTTCCGCGCTATTGGATTCCATAACTCTCTTAATCGTTACGATTTGAGGTTGAGCCTCCGTCTGAATCGGTTTCTTTGTTTCCTCTTTAGCTTTTACTTCCTCCATTTTCTTCATCTTCTTCTTCAACTTCTTTCTTTCTTTCTTTGTCAATTTTTTATCGTTCAAGTTCATAGTTAGTGATTTCTCTGTGGCATTATTTTTAGCATTCGTACTATTGCTACTGCCTGTTTGTACTTTGTTATTTTTATTGCTAACTTCAGATTTATCACTTTTGATCGTCATTTTATTATTCATCTGGCTAGAAACCATTATTTTGTCGGATTTACTAATACTTTTGCACTTTACATTCGTATTCACAGGTGCAGTCTTCATTTTACTATTTATACTACTGGTACTACTACTACTGCTGCTACAGCTACTGCTACTAGTATTACTACTATTGCTACAAACTTCTTGTTTGTCTTTCTTCTTATTACTTAATTGCTTTACAGTCGGCAGTGCTACTGGTGGTGACGTAGGTAAAATAGATACTTCGGGTAGGTTACACTGAGGTAATAATCGTTGAGGAACAGGTTTTTGTGGATCTACAACAGTAATCGTTACTTCTGGTGTCTTTTTTTGTAATTCTATTAATTTCTGCCTTTCTGCCTCTTGCCTATCCTTTTTGAGCTTTTCTTCTAACTGTAATAAATAGAAGATCCGATTACTTAACATCATATATGTATTTAATAAGAAAATGTTGATACTAATTTATATTAACCTTCCGTTGTTTTTGCCTAGCTTTCTTCTCAGCTTTTTTATTATTATCTTTTTTCCCATTCTGATTGCCTTCGATGAATTCAAGCAGTTCTTCTAGATCTCTTTGATCTCGTTGATCTTCTTGCACCGTAGGGACAGTTGAAATTGGTGTATTCAATCTAGGCACTGCATTTGTTACTGTTTTTGTTTCCGTGCTCGTATCAGATACAACCAACTCTGAAGGACTTTTCGAAGGAATACATGTAGCTTTACATTTCCTAGCTTTTTTCTTCGTTAATAATTGCCGTAGTCGTTCTCTCATCTCATTGTAGTTTCGACTAACCTGTACTACCGATGCCTGAAGGAAAATATTCACTTAATAACGTATTAATTTATATGTAAAATTATAATGATGAAGCCAGCTTACAACTCCGAGATCAAATACTTCGCAGTAACAGCAATCACAATGTCTGCTCGAATCTCTTTGCGCTGAACTACTCGTGGAACAAGAATCCTCTAGACTACTTCCGGAATCCGAACAATCTCCGTCCCCGGAACTTACTGAAATAATTAAGGCATACATATATACGCATATATATAAAAAATAATAAAAAAAAAAAGAAGAGGAAGAAAAGCAATTGTAAAATAAATAATGTTAAAAATAGTCCAACGAATACTGACAGTCGTTACACGAGACTCTCTTAATATGCTCGACATTAGCCTGTTTGTGACAGGCATGCGAAGAATGATTGCTGTGTGTATGAGATCTATGAGTAGGACCCGTATTTTTTACCAAGTCTGGAAGGGGCCCATGTGTATGTGGTGAATGAGTGGCACCTATTTAATATAAAAAAAATACATGTACATATATAGATTCCTCGTTATATTCTTCTAAACATCATTTATTTGGATTTTGATGAAAATGTTTTTAAAAACTTTCACGTATAAAATGATTATCGACTGTAATCGGTTCTGTATATTTACCCTGATGTGTTGTTGTGTGATTGTGAGCAGTATTCGGCGTCTGAGTTGTAGAATGCCTCGTTTGTGTCTGAGCAGACTGTGTAGAACCAGTTTTCACTGCAGGTTTATTTGGTTCTTGATTAGCCTTTACAATAGAAGGCGATACTGGCTTTGGATGGCCATTCGGTATAACAGTTTCAGGTACAGCTAATATCATAAAATATTATACTAATTGAAAATTTGTTAATTACAATAAAAAAAAAAGAAAAAAAGAATAGAATTTTCTTCTTTATAATTACATTTTATTAAGCAGGGACAGGTATCCCATATCTTCCGTTTGGTGTTTAATAAACACGGACAAGGTGGATTTTCTAGCACCATTTTTCTTTCTGTTATTTCTCTCACATGCTGATATACACACGAACAAGGTTGTGGATCCGACGCCCTTAAATCAACGTCTTCGTTTACGTTTCTTATGTTATTTTCGTCGCTTTTTATTTCCTTTATTTCTAGATCCTCTACTTTTTTCTTCACTTGCGTTGCCGAAAAATTGGCTGTATCTTCTATAATAAAATTAAACGAAAAAATTAATCAATACTGTGTAGCATATATTGCATTGATTTCATATAATAATTTATTTTTACCTAAGAAACCATTTGTAAGTTGTGGGAAAGGATTTTCTAATGGCAATATCATGTTTTCCGCGTCATTTTTATTAACCTGTAAGTTCATTCGGTAAATTATTAACGTTATATTAATAAAAAATATCGGAAACAAAAGCATTCTTACAGTAGAAGATACTGCAGGTCCTATGCACATATGACATTCACAACTTCTGCCTTCTTCTATGGTATTTTCCAAACAAGTTCCTTCAATATGAGCCCTTTCAAAAGTATTTATATATTTAAACAAATATTTAAAGCCATTACCAATTCCTATACATAACAGTAAGTACCTCACTGATCTCATTGTGGACTGCACCAAATGGCAAGTTGCACAAGCATAGTCGAAGAAATCTTCCTGTCCATTAGTGTAAATATCTGTAGCAGGTTGTACACCTGCATCAGATAATTTCTGACGTAGAGACTTTACAACTTTATTCCAGTCGTCTAATAAAATTTGAAGTATCTCAATACTTGGAGGCATATTGGCTGAATCCAAACTTAAATCTGTAGGAGGACTTAAAGGCCTACCATCTATCTCTGATACACCAACTTTTGCTTGTGATGTAAGTATCGAAAGTTGTCTATCCACTTCTTGTAATTCACTGAAATGAAGAAAGATATTAAATTACGATTTATGAACATAAATAAACTGATATGATGCATTTTAATTTTGTATTAACATACTTTCCAACGTCAGCCGATTTATTTAACATGCATGGTTCCAAAAGTTTCTTAGTTGCTGTGAACACTTCCCTTACTTGCCTAAGACGAGACATTCGACCTGCTTGTTCTGCACTGAAATACGCACCGCTTATGAAACTTTGTTCATAGAGTTTCTTTCCTGGGATTGTGATCAGTAGATATAGTTATATTATCATTAAAATATAATTATATCGTCACTTACTTGTACTTGTCCATCCAGGATTCAGTTTCTGCCCATAAATCTCTAATTACTGTCATTTCTTTGTCAAACCATAAATACCGATGTACAAGACGTTGATATTCCGAGCCTTTTAAAGGCAAAAGTTTTCTTAACTGTAAAAGCCTCTAAGATGTGTACTTTGGTGTCTATTGGGTATTGTAATTTGATTAAAATGTTAACATGATATATATTAATATTTACCTGATCAATAAAGGGTGGCAAATTATTTTTTATTAATGGATCATCATATATATATATTTGATATAACTTTTTAATAAAAGCAGCCCATGGTAAAGGAAATTTATAATTGAATTTACCCAAATGGTCTTTTAAAAGTTTTACAAACTCAGATATTTTTACAGCTGTTGTAATTAATGCATCATAATCATCTAAAAGACCTATAAAAAAAAATGTATAGAACTAACATTTCTATTAAATGGCAGAACCAGATCGTTTAGTTTAAAATACAATATTATATTTATATTAACCTGTAAAAAAAATTTCTGCAAAATTATTTACACTAAGATCATGAAGAAGAGCTAATAATCGAACTTTTACTTCTACAACAAATTTTTGCGCCAAACTCACTAGCCTCATAAATAATTGATGAGGATTCCTTTTACACAATCTGAAAAAAGTACTATATTTAGATACTCCTATAGCTAATATATACTAATTAATTTCCACAGAAACATTTTTTGGACTTACTGCAAAACAATTTTATGCGTATCATCTGTTGAAAATGGAGTTTGCTGAAACTGTAAACCTCCTGGAATACGAGATGCTTCTAAGGCAACGTTAAAGGAACCCTGTATATGCTGGCGCAATTCTGTCCATAAATTTTGAAACTTCATAGCTTTCTGCAATTCATCTCTAAGTAGCTCTCTATATTGAAAATAATAGTCAGCACTAATTACCAATTGAATCAATCTCTTTTTTCAATGTAATAATTACCTCTTTGCTTTGCATACATCACATGAGCACATTTCTTTTCCCCTGAAAGGGCTGTCTATGCTCACGGTGGTACTCGGATTTTCAATAATCGTCTCTGGTCTCGTTTGTATCGCATTCATGCTATCTGGACCCCTCGCGCCCTTGATAAACTCGTCGACCATGCTTTCAAGTGTCACGCTCTGCAAGTAGAACGTGTTCGTGGTTGACGATTGTTGGTGCGAGGTGAACGCGAAACGGTTTTCGTTAGTAGAAAACATACCGCGACAGGAACTGAATCTGCAACAACAGGAGACCTGACAGCATCCTCCATATAACTAATGGCCCAATCAGTTTCCTGTCGCATGAAATCGTCCTCAGCGCTAATGCATGCATCACGAAGAACATCGTCTCTACGTTTCTTAACGAGAACGTCACCCATCGCTACTACGTTGCTTTCTCTCGTCCTGTTGCATTGACCGTCCTCGCTATCGCTGCCGCTCATTTTGTCGCTGCGTAATAGATCTGCTACACTGAACTGATCGTTCGCCGATATTTGTATCGGACTACACGATAATTGATGCACTTTTCTACGGGTTTTATTACGAACCGCGTAAACACCTAAACTACATTCAATCAACATTCGCTCAATATGGCGTCTCGCGTGCTCGTCCTATGGTTCAACATTATGTCGTAAGGTGACGTGATTTGGCGATTGCGTGTTTGTAGGTTCTCTACGGCTCGTGTTCATTCTTCATTTCTTGTTAAAAGCATTATCAAAAATAAATATTTTATTGCAATTTTAGAGTGATAGCATTAGGTACATTATAAAGAATGTAAGTACGAAAATAAATTCAGATTGTTACATCTGAATACTCATCTTCAGTTATATAAATAAATTAAGTTGTTCGCTTATGGTTTTCGTAAATAGTTTAAATTGTATAATTTTTTATATTTTCAAATAAAATGAATAGAGCATAATTTGATTATCAACTTGAATATAAGAAAAAGAAAATAAAAAAATGTGGTGTATGAAATAACTTATCATTTGAGAGGAAACAGAAAATTCATGTAGTGCCATCTTACAACTGATTAAGTTATTAATGTATTGAAGGACGCTATCGATAAGAATGCGAAGTAAATACGAGTTGATTTCTTGCTACGTGGGAAGAGTTAAGATACGTAAAGACAAATTATTAGAAGGATGACCGCAAATTACTTGGATTTGGATATTAATAAGTTATTTGAAGAATATACGATAAAGGAGATTGAGGGTATTCAAAAGAAAATTCAACATGAGAGTGACAGAAAAAAAATCGAACTTAGAACTTTAGTTGGGTAAAGTTCTATTTTAATGACTTAAAGTAATTGGTTGTTTTTGTCGTTTATTTTTTGTAGAAATAAATACTTTTGTATCTATTAAATATCAATAAATTGTCATTAAACAAAAGAGATTTATCTGTATAATAATTGCTACTATAAGGTTATTAATTTGTTCTTCGAGTATGCTTACCAAGTACTTCAATATTTTTAGAGAAAGGTACCGTGATTTAATATTGGCTGCAGATACAATTGGAAAAATGAAGATAACTTCTGAACGTGTTATTTCAAGATTAATTAAGATTGAAGAGGATTTTGGAGAATTACAAAAGAAGTATCTTATTGGATTTAAAATAGATTCAGCTCAAAGTGAAAGTGATAGGTATTTCTAATAATTTTGTTAGATAGAATAAACAATTTTATTATTTATACTATTATGTAACATTTACATTTTTTTTGTAGAAATATTGAAGCAAGTCATGATTCAGTTATTATTCAAATAAAAATCTTGATGGATATACCTCAACATATTTGGTCTAGTATTGAAAACAAAGATTTATTATTCGCTACACAATTGTATCTGGTAGCTCAACACATAAATTATAGTCTGTTATTTGAAGTAGGGGACACAAATTTAAATATTAAGTATCCAATTGTATCTAAACAATGGGATGTTATTAGTCAGTTTAAGAACATCATATTTAATGAGTGTAATACTGTATTACAATCATTAGATGTACAATCAAAGGTTTGTGTCTATTTGAAACTATATTTTATATTAAATTGTTAAAAACACTATTTTAATTTTAGAGTATAGCAAATTGCTTAGCAGCACTTGTGTTATTAAATGGAACTTCGTTCCCAGATTTAGTGGATAAATTAATATCCATGCGTAATCACGCAATTAAATCTATTATTGTTGATGAAAATGATAGTAGTGTTAAAAAGAAGATAAAATCATGTATTGAGATATTAATTCAAACAATCAGTTTAATTTATTCTTGCTTCATAAGTAAGTAATTTTATAATATATTATACTATGATAGAATACTAAATATTAATTAATTACAGATTCAGAAGCTAAATCAGGAGGTCTTGTTCTACAATATTTAATAAATATTCAAGATCAGGAAGCATATTCTTTGCTTTCTCAGCTAGATTTGAATCAAGAATTATTAAAAGAATTTCTTCCTCTTGTAACTAAACAGCATAAGCCATTTGCTGCACATACTTTTGAAAATTTTGGTATATCAGATTTACAAAAAACTATTAAATCCTGGCTTGATTGGGTCGCCGAATTTTGCAATTGCGAAATTACGAAACTTTTAGATCTAATAATATCTATAAAAGGATTATATTATGTCCGTGAAGAAGCTGTTAGCATCAGTTTGCCGGAAAATTGGAATTCGATCTGGGAAGAGCTTTCTCTTCCAAGAATAACATTCTGGGTGGAATTTTTTCAACTTTTAATATCTCAAAGAGCAAAATGTATATAGCATGAACATAAATAACATAAAATATATTTCTTGTTATTAAGTTCGTAGAAGTAACACTTTTCATTTTTTCTTAGATATCATAAATGACAAATGGATGGAAACTATTGCTGCATTAAAGTCAGACGTAATTGAGTTACTTGGTAAAGTAATTCTTGATAAATTTGAATATCCTGAACATGATTTACGATGGTTTGTTTGGAAAGATTCTCCAAGTGATATTCCTCAGAAGCTTACCAAGAATGGTGGTTTAGATAATAATAGATCTTTATTGATGAAAACTAAAGGATATTCACCAAATATTCTCAAACTGTGTGAAAATTTTAATACTAGTTTGCATGTTCTACTCACAGATCTTGAGCAATACTTATACGAAACGGAACACGTGATGTCTATTAAGGACAATTTATTATCTACAAACATATCTTTAATTTCGAATTTATTTTCTGACCGTACAGAGATTCAAGAACATTTACAAATAACCAGCACTAACATGATTGAAGATTTTCTCAATTTTGCAAAGACTACATGCGTAAATGATAAACCCGAATACGGTCAACGTGATATAAACTCTATTATAATGGCAAGACTTCTTTTAGCATTGACGACATTAAGTTCAAACTTGAATAAATGTTTTACACTTTCAAAAATATCTGGATTAACTATTACAAATGCCAAATGGCAATCAGTTTGTGATAAATTAAAAGAAGAAAGCACTTCTATTTGGTCAATTTGGGCTAAAACGTATAGAGTTAAAATAAACGAGCATAGGAATAAATTTATATCAAAAGAATCATTAGATGGTTATCCAATACATTTAGTTGTATCAGAATGGGAAAAAGTAACTATTGAAGAAGATTCCGGGGAGGGTAAAAGAATAAAATCAGAAATTTTAGTACCATATCAGCCATCCATACAGTTACAAAAATTTTTAACTGCTATTAATAAAGATTTAAATAAAATAATACCACATACTCTTCCAAAGTAAGTTTTAAATGATCAAAGCTTGTATACATTAAATTCTATTAATTCTTTAATTTGAATTTTTCATCTTAGAAAAGTGCTATATGAAATTATAGAAGATGTCGTGTCAGAACTATTAAATTATTATTTAATTGCATCTAGTAATGCAAGTCTTTCACAGAAGCAAGCCTTCCAAGTATTATTTGATATAAAATATTCTAGTCTTCTTATGATATCTAGAGAAAATAAAATTCAAACTGACCTATCAACTAAAACGTGTGAGAGTATATTATCCAAAATTGATCCGTTTGATTACGACGTTTTCAATCCTTTTATTCATACTAACGTCAAGAAAAGTGTTCAAAGATCTCTGGTGAGTGTTTGTGTGTAAATATATTAGATTAATCAGTATTCAAATTTTAATTATCTTATTTTTGGATTTTAGCTCATACTAGGAAATCTTATACCTCATTTGGAACAATTACACTCAATTTTAGGTGCACGAAGCGAATATAATAATACTGAAGGTGTAAAAACAGATCTGCCATCAGTACTAGCTTTATGCACAGGAGCACCCTGGTTCCCACCTTTAACTGTAACAGCGCCAACGAGAAATATGCCTCTTGTTCCTGTAACTCTACCAGAAAAGATACAGGTAAATATAGTATTTCTTTATTTAAAATTTTTAAGTGTATCCTTTACATTTTATTTAAATATCAGTTTGTAAAATTATCCCTTTTCCCTACTTATGGATATTTATTTCATTTAAGTGAATATGTACCCATAGATTGCCAGAGCATTCAAATAAGATAGCTCGTGCATTTGATTGCGGTAAGAAAACGGTGTTATGTCTTGTGCTTAAATAACTTGTAATTAACAGATTAATGCAGTACATGTTTGAAATATATTGATTACGTATTATAATTTTTGGTTGATATTAATATTTGATATTTAGGTGTGTTATAAAAAATGTGAACTTGAAGTTAATTTTTTATATGTTAATACAGCGCAAAAAACCTGCTAACAAGGAAAATACAAAGAGTGATTCTACTGGATCTACGATCAAATCTGGGGCAGCAGCATTTTTTGGAGCAATGGGCTCAGACTGGTTTGGTAGTAGTTAATTTATTTATGTAATTTACAATTCAATATAAAAATTGTAAATATTTCACTATATGTATATATACACTAGGTATATCCATGTAAATACTATATTGCCTTTTTAACAGCACTGGCAGTACTGAATAAAATATTTTATACAGTGTTTAAATTTTATACAATATTTTAAATAATAATCGCATTACTTTTATTACTTCAATAAGCAATTTGGTAAACACCATTAAGGAAATAAATGATAAGCATATTTATAAACGTATTATAATTTCAAATAATCCCGCTGTTTTTGGTTTCAAGAGAATGTCTCAGGTGCAGATAGGTTACTCTGCACGCTAGCGTCACAATCGAGAGATTCGTATACTAGTTTTTAAATGTCACCGACCGGTACATGAGATTGTTCAATAACTTTCACCTAATAAAAAATCGTAAAAGTACAAACAAGTATTTAACTAGTCAGTCGTGTAATTAACATATACGAAATATCAGATCATATGTAATAAACATTAATAAAAACGGGTTTAACGCAGCACGTAAATTTTACTATAAAAGTGATATATTATATCGCCCGACTTATCGAAGGAAAAAATGAATCAAGCACTTCGAGTTTTCCGATCGTATACGAACCCAAGCAGCCGATTATGATGCGCGTGACACGTGGGCTCAGTTTCATTTTGATCGTCGATCGTGACGCACTGTTTAAAATTTCCAGAGCGTTTGTAGCGCCGTCAACGACACTGACAGAGACAGTGAAAGAGGGCGCATCGGTAGCAAGAAGAAGACGGATAAACTGAAAGTGTCGCGGGCAGTTACGCAATTACCCTTGTCGAGGGGTGAGAGGAAGACACGAGTGGTAAAATACGCCAGCGCAGTGTAGTACACGTTTTGGTATACAGCAAGATGGCCGGATGGGCCCATCTGTGGTGATATCGGTCGTGAGACGTTCTCATTCACACTTGAAGAAAAAGCAACGATACGAAGCCCTCCAACTTCAGGAGTACCGCTGGGGCGTGCAGAATCATCATCACCGTCAAATGGTGAGTAAAAACATTTTTTATTTCCATTTTGCTGTTCGTTGGAAAAGCGGCATGGTGCATGCGATGTTTCGCGCGCTGTTTTTGAAACTCTAGCAGACTACCCGGGAATTTGCGGTGTTCTGTGGGTCGTCTGCTATGGTGGTTTAAACATAAATTGCTGTATTTAGAAATAAACTTTAAATCATACAAACCACAATAAAAACGTCTAAAAATATTCGCAGTTTGAAAATCCAAAAATATTCTTTTCGGTTTGGAATATAATTTCTTATAGCGAAGCTATATAACCTTAAAAATAGATAGAGCTTTTTGGGAGTTTTTATGATAATTCGAGACTACTTCAAGCGAAATCTTTATTTTTCAGAAGTAGCTTTAAGATTAAGATTGTTTAAATGTCTCTTGAGCGGTGATAAGTTACCGTCATGTTGTTTTGACTAGCGTATTTTATCGTTTACTTTCTTCGTCAGTTTGTACCGACATATACCGCAACTTTCGTGATGGGGTTTTATTTTTACACCAACCACGAATGCGTCAAAAATTTGTTGACGGATTATGATTCATGTAAATGATAATGTGCCATCTGTACGATGTCACATCAGTATGGAAGATTAAAACACGTATTAAGAATATTATTCCAAACTCGAAGATAAAAACGTTCGAACAGTAGTCCGGATTATAGTCGCGCATGCGCAGTACGTAAACAAATCGTAGTGTTTATCGATAACAACCAACAATTTATATCGATATTTTTTAATAGAATAAAATCAAAGTAACAATGAATTTAATTGTTGTATGATATGATAAAATTAATCCGTGAGCTCTCGTGTTGATTAATCGCCCGAAGGGTCGAAAAACAGGATCGATAGAAAGCGTTTACGCTGATGGACGATTCTTCTTACTACGCAGTGGTAAAAATCGCCATCAAAACAAACGACAGCAGGTTGGACAAAGGCCAACTGCACGGTAGGCTGCATCGCGAGAACAAAAAACTCTTTGCACTTGTGATATTGAGCGGAAACAGTCGCGATGCGGCAACACGCGGTCATTTCCCCGGTGAAACGTTACATTCCGGCTTTGCTGTCTGAGAAAGCGGAAGTGCGTCAATTGAATCACGTAGTCCATAGATTTTAATAACATATGTCTATCTGTCTCTTTACAATCACATTCCGACGGCGCTTATTCTTTCGCTTATCGTATTATACATTCAAATGTAATGTTAAATATCATTTTTTACAGATAACAAATACTTTTTATCACGTTACAGAATATTTTAAAATGAACGATAACGTTACTAACCTTTTATAAAGTTAAATAAGTACCGGTGTCGGTTTCGGGCAGTAAATTTGAACATAACCCCACTTTATAGAATACATAGGTGCAAATGTGATTGTTTTCCTGATCGTGCCGTTTTTAATGGTCATTATAGTCAACCGTGTTCTCCGGTTCTTCAAGTTCTTTAATTGCTGCCGGAAAAATAGACCACGGAGACCAACTCGGGACTATTTTTCTTTCCACTTGGCAACGTTCACCACAAATAAGCACCGCATTAATCTCCTCGTCTCTCGTGTTACGTTGCCCAACGTGGGTGAAAAAAATATTCGGAAGAATAATGATACTCGACGCCATTCTAACCTAGACCGGTAAAAACCATTTAAAACGAAAATCGACTGAAAATAAATTAACGAGAAATATGAAATTTTTGAAATTATCTTCAATTCTTTTTATTTATTAATAATATTAATTTTATAAATAATAGCAACTATACCTTCGGTCTCTTTAAAATAAAAGAAATTTCATACTCTACTGAGAAAAAATTAAGAACATGAAATTTGCGAAATTATGTTCGATTTATTTATTTTTTTTTTTTTTATCGGTATTCGATTACCGACAGTAACATATTCTCGGTTCTTTTAAATATATAAATTCGATACTCGGACACTTTTTAACAGGTTCTCCTTTCTCTCTCTAACAGTTCGGAATATTTTTTCGCAAACGAAAAAGAAAAAGAAAAATCGTTTCGTCCAAGTCACCTGTTGCATCGTCGAGTTTCGTATCGATTTACGAAACGGAATCTGAGTCGACTGGGTTCCATTTTCAAATTTCTGTCGCGTTTGCATTTAAAACTAAAACGTTCGTGAACGATGTTAATTCTCGATATAATTATTTTAATCGTAATTTTTATTTTCGAACGTTCGTCTTAACCTGTTAATTAATTAATACGTTATCAATTAAAATTGAAATAGGATATTGATTTTTAACAACCACAATTTTAATTCCAATGATTAAACATGAATTTCGAATCAAATATCTCGAAAGAGATATAAAAATTGAAAAATTAAATTAATTTAAAAATTAATTTACTATTTTATGAAACGTAATTGAGGTTCTCCTTATGTTAAATATTTTTTAACGATAATGTACCTATAGTTAAATATAAAAATTCGAAGTCGATTCTTTCCTTATCGCCATTTTGTATTTCGAGTAATACGAGCAATTTATTTCCCCATAGAACGATGATTTTCACGGTGTATTATTATGGGGAACGATCGGTTATATGGAGCTCTGTTAAATGGAAACATTTCATTTTATCACAGCCTGGGTTATGGCTTATTTGCTTATCGTTGGAGAAGATCATGGGATTAGAAACATAGTTTGCTCGTACGTTATCAACGAATTCGACTCGCAAATTTGAGGAAGAGTTTGTTTCGTTTCCAACTATCGCACGTGGAAGATTATTATTTATTATGAATATTTAATCTCCGTTCCCTTGGCTAGTGCCAGACTTAATTAACTGCCCTGTTATCTCGAATCGAAGATAGCAGATATTAAATCGAAGTTAGGTTCTGCGACGTTAGAAGAATCGAATTGATCCGAAGGAAATATATCTTTTGATAAAATGCAGATGGATTTATCAGCAATATTGACGTATTTAGAGAATTTGTTTTATGGTACGTTTATTGCTGCAATAATAGGGACTTAATAGGTGTGAATAATTTCTTCATTATTTATATAGGGTGTCCCAAAATTCACGCAAGATTCCAATTGTCAGCGTGTTGTCAACAAGAGAAAAAAGACAGCGTGAGAGTTGACAATTTAGGGTTATTAAAAATGGAGAATAGCGTGTCTTCATTGTTGAGAAATATTTACAATTTTTAATTAAAAACCAGTGTTTTCTATCAAAATTATTTCTTGCGTGAATTTTGGGACTCCATTATAAGCAACAGGAAGTCTTAAATTTTTTGGGACTCCCATTATAATTAATAGGAAATCCTAAATTTTTTGGAATTTCCATTATAAGTAGTAGGAAGTCCCACATTTTTTAGGACTCCCATTATAAGTAATAGGAAGTCCCAAATGTTTTGGGACTCCCATTATAATTAATAGGAAATCCTACATTTTTTGGGATTTCCATTATAAGTAGTAGGAAGTCCCACATTTTTTAGGACTCCCATTATAAGTAGTAGCATGTCCCAAATTTTTTGAAACTCCCATTATAAGTAATAGGAAGTCCCAAATTTCTTTAGGACTCCCATTATAAGTAATAGGAAGTCCCAAATGTTTTGGGACTCCCTTTATAAGTAATAGGAAGTCCCAAATTTTTTGGGACTCCCACTATAAGTAATACGAAGTCAAATTTTTTAGGACTCCCATTATAAGTAATAGCAAGTCCCAAATTTTTTGGGACTCGAAAATGTCGCGATATGATCATCTTAAATAATTAGAAAAATTATTACGAAGTTATACGAAGTGTTGAAATCTGGATAGAATGGGTAATAGTCATCAGGTAGGCTTATGGTAGTAACTGACAACCACTGTCTAACTCGATCACGTTCAAAACGGTACGAAACTGTCAGACAGGCGTCGGGAACGATTTTAAATAAAATGGTCCACCCACTAGAGACCACTAGCTGACCGCAGGGTGGCCACTGGAAGGAGTTGAAACCACTAGGGAAACCCCAGATGGCGCTCACAGCGGTCAGATAGCTGGCGGGAACGATTTTGGAGAAAGTGACCACACGATTGAGTGGACACTGGAAGAAATTCGAAGCTGAAACCCTCAGAATGGTCCACGTT